TTCCAACCTAAAGGATTCTATGATGTCTTGTTGTCAGGGAGCTGATGCTGGCAGTCTCCACTGCCCTTCACAGCAGTTGTCCTCATTTCTGGTCAGGGTTAACAGCACATGGAGCCCTTACTCTTGCTGCTGACTGGTGCTTTTCTGCAAGCTGGAGCAAGCAGCAGCTGCCCTGGTTCCTGCAAGGCCAGTTCTTTGTGCAGAAAATGTCAAGAGGCATAGAGGGAACCTGCTTCATGTTTCCTGGGGCTGGCCAGCTCTTTGCCTTCAGCCAGTGCTGTGCTATCACCATCTTCTCCCTTCTCTTTGGGCAGCAGTGCAGGGGGGTGGGGGCTGGTTAGGATGCTGCTGCTGGCAGGATGCTGGAAGCCAGCCCTGGGCTGCTTGGAGCTGCAGCTGCACTGCTTGCTTCAGGAGCAGAGAACTGGCTGCAGTGGCTCATCCCAGCCCTACAGGGGACACCCGCTTTCACAGGGCCTGGGGAGAGGCTGGTAAAATGGTTCACAGGTAGTCAGGCTGCTATGTTAAACTGGAGCACTATGCCTGATGGTGATCAGGACACCCAGCTGCTCTGATCTGTGCCCAGCCCTCACTGTGGCTAAATATTGGCACAGCAGTGTCTGTCCCAGTACTGTTGAGCCAAGCACCAAAACAGGGTAGCTTTCCCAGCACCAGTCATCCTGCCACTGGTGCCACTGTCCTAGCACAAGTACTGACTCGGCCAGTACCATCCAGCACCAGTTGTCCTTGTGTTTTACAGCCCAAGCACCAGCTTGTGCCAGTACAAACTGGTCCAGACCCACTGCAGGTTCCTCTAACCTCTACAACAGGGAGGGCACCTGTAGCATGGCTGGGGAAAGAGCTGGTCCTGGCTTCTGGCATTGCTCACCCAGCACCTGCTTGTGTGAGCAAAATGCTTCTTCCTCAGCTGCAGAAGCAGCATCCACACCTCGCAGACCTGTGGCCAGGTACCTGGCAGGGGAGAAGCCAGGTCCTTCTGGCACCCTCCTTCTTGCCAGAGCACCACAGCCTCTTGAAAACCTTTTTTTTTTTTTTTTCTATTGAACATGCAATGCTGTAAGAATTGCTTATCTGAACATGGGAAGAGTACATAGCTGAGCTGAAGAGGACGGGTCCAGACTCTGTGACCAGCTGCTGGCCTTGGACCAGAGCTGTTGGTTCAGGACCTCATCACAGCTAGGAATGTTGGGTTTCCTGGAGCTGGAGCCATACTGTGCTATGGTCATCCAGGCTCTGCTTTCAGAGCAGCCACGCAAGTGTGGATCCCCTTCCCAACATCTGACACAAATAAATCATGCATCCATGTCAAACATATTTATAGCAAAAATAGTCTTTTTCTATAGCTTCCATACCCAAAGTTTTCTCCCCGTACATTTACGCAGTAAACAGGTTGACTATCAAGCAGCATGCGCTGGGCTGACTCGACAGCTGCCCTTGCTGCAGGCTCTGCCATCGCAGGTGGCCTCATTCCCCTTTCATGGCTGCTCTTCAGAGCCTCCACTGCACCCCTCGTACCACCCCAGTCTCGGGCTGCTGGGTGGGCAGGCAGCAGCCCCGGGGCCGGCGGGAGCAGTGCCTGCAGGGCAGACAGCCAGGCTGCTGCACGGGCTGCCTCTCTTCAGACAGGGACAGCCCAAGGAGTCCATACTGCCCAGGTTTGAGGAGCTTCCTGGAGCTCACACGTGCTGACTGCAGACTTCCACCATGCGGTTAAGCAGAAAGTGACTGAGCACAGGACCTCAGTCCTCTCATGGTGGTAAGAAGATAAAGGCTGCATTAACTCAGGAAGACTCTCTTGTTCCTTCTGTCCCTCCACTGACAGAAGACAGAGGAGGGGCTTTGGGGCAAGCTTCCCAAAGACTGGCCAAAGTCCCATGACAGAAACCTGCAGAGCCTGAACACTGGTCAGAGAGCTAGGGCACCCTGCCAGCAAGAGCTTCGGTTTGGAGTTCACCTGGGTCATTGCTTGTCCACCTCAGAGGGTTTTGGCATATAGACCTAAAGGGCAGGACACATGGGCGGCAAGTGCATCTCCTTCCTGTCCCGGGCTGGGGAAGGGCCCTCATGTGGAGCCAGCATTCCTCCCTGCCTGACTGTACAACTCAGGACATTGCAATGCACCTGTAAGCTGCCTGCACTGTTCCCATGTGAAACACATCACCCCAACGAGGCCTGTTGCAGAAGGGTGGCTTGCAAGCAGGGCAGCTGCTGCAGCACAGGGAAGGAAGACAGTTCTCCCCTTTGCCCTCCCTGCAGCAGCTGAAGTTCCCATGCCATATGGGTGAGGAGCTGCCGCTTGCAGGGGAGCATCCCTCTAAACCAGCTGCAGTCCCCTCCTGCTTTCCTCTCCCCCTGCATCTTTGGCAGTCCTCCTTGGACATGTTCAAGTCTGCAGCATCACACCGACACCTCAGCAGCACGGATTTGCCTCACAGTTTGGTAAATTGCACGTAACGGGGCCATCCAGTGAGCCCCACAAGGGGTGAAGGAGGGAAGAAGAGGGAACAAAACAGTCAGGAAAACTAAATTGAGTAATCCCATGCTGTCTGTGCCAGCATAATGGGTCACACATGAGTCCAGGGAGAGAGGATGCTGCCTGGCCCTGCCGCAGTGCAGCTCCCCACTGTCTAGGAGATCATGTACTGGGTGATGGCCTGCAACGCATACAGCAGCTCTGCCTGCATTCGGGCTTCCAGGATGAGCAGGTTCACGTGGACCTAAGAGAGAAGCAAGAGAGGTTCAGGCAGCTGCAGTGTGCTGTGGGCAGTGGTGCAAGCAAGTGTCCAGCTGGGCTAGTGAGTCTTTTGGCATGGGACAAAATGCTACCAATTTTTCCTGCACGGGCAGCTGCCCTTTCCCTCTCCTCCCAGTCCTGCAGGCTGTGGCTGCCTCTCAGAACCATGTGCTGGGGAGACCCCGGCACACTCGGCACCAGCATACTGGACTGGCACCATAATGTTCACTGCTGCCCACAGCAGCTGCTCCTGCGAGTTACAGCTGGACTGAGGGCTAGCCTGGAGACTCACCAATGCGGTAATGGCCTTGGAGATCCCCATGCTGCAGGTGGCTTCTGTTTCACCACACTGTGGGCAGCCCCATGCCATGCTAAGCCCAACTACTTATAAACAACCACTTTCCATTTCCCCCCAACCTGCCTCAGACTGGTTTGGTGGCTCAAAGGTTTCTCATACACCTTCAGAAGCACCCCAGCCTGCAACCCTTCCCACTCCTGGCCCCACTGCAACTGGTCAGCACCAGGGGCTGGCTGTCCCACCTTTTCACTGTGCTTGAACTGCTTCCAGAACCTGTCAAACATTTCTGAGTTTGTCTTCTCTGGGTAGCAGGTTACAGTTTTAATGTAAACTTTAAGCATTCGTTCCAGGAGCTGATTCACCTCTGCGTAGTCATAGTCATCGTACCTGTGGGGAGCACAGGAACGAGTCATAACCAGCAGTGTGTCCCTACAGAGCACCTCGTCCGTGATTTGCCCAGGGCACGGCACAGCTGCAGGGCAGGAGGACACACGGCAGCACCCACTAGGCACTGAAGCCCCATCCCTGAAGCGCCCTGCTCTGGCCAGAGAAGCTGAGCATCTCTTCCCTACCTGGCCCAACATCCAGGCAGGCAATTCACCTCTGTCTCTTTTCCAAGCCTATCTGCAAGACAGCCAGTGCCTTACCCTCCTCCCACCTTGGTCAGCTCAGTTTTTGTCCCTGGACCATGAGGTTGGTTTCCCTACCTAATGCCAAACATGCAGTGGATGTAGTTCCAGACGCCCCGCTTGAAGACAGAGGGTTCACAGCCCTGCCTCTTGGCCATGGCACTGCTTTGCAGACCATCCACCATCCGAAACTTCTCATCCAGGAGATGCCCGATGTCAGAGTAGAGACGGTTGACCAGCGAGAAGCCATGGTCTTCCCAGGAGTAATCCTGTTGAGCATAGCAAGAAGCTTTTGTAACTGCAAAAAGGAGCCCAGGGGATGTTCCCAGGAAGAAGGGCTGGAGACCTCAGAGTGCAGCAGGATTCAATAGGTTTGCTCTGGGGGCAGCTCTGCCACAAACTACAATATCCCTTATCAGGCAGCTTCTAAATGACTTTGACCCTTGACTCCATGAGGGCAGTGTGAAAAAATGAGCAGCCCTTGGGGACAGAAGTCACTGGTCACCTCTCTCTCCCCAGGCCTCGCTGAGCATGTCTCCTTTCAGAGCTGAGCTTCCCTGCTCAGCCATTTTCCAAAAGCATGCTGCACAGGTACCCCCGCAACCATCTGCTCCCACCAGGAGCGGATAGGAAAGGAGAGGTGGCAGCCTGGGCTGCTGCCCGCTGAGCGAGCAGGAACCTCACCTGGACTCTGAATACCTGCGTCTGATCCTCATCGCGCCGGGCAAAGTCCTGGTATCCAAAGTCAGGGTCCTGCATGTAGCATGCGAGATTGGTGGCACTGGTGATCTCCCCATCGGCATCAGCAAGAGGGGGGAGCCCTGCAGAGGTGTCAGAGCGATGCTCAGCTGCCCTGTTCCCAGCTGCAGCAGGTGTTGGAAGCCAAGCTTTGCTGTGCCTCCTTGGGAAGCAGCACTGCTTTCTTCCCCTCCCCACCAGCATCCCAGGAGCCCCTTTCTGAACTGTACATCAAAGAAAATGTACATATAGACATGGGGGAGCAACACCCAGGTATGCCATATGAACTCCCATCCCGCACACCCACCTTTGCTCCCTGCCCCTCACCTTCCTCTCGATCCTGCTGCAGCAGCCTCATCTCCTCCCTGCCCTCAGTCTCCACGTGGATCCGCTGCATGCGTTCCCGCAGAGAATCCAGCTCCATGCAGGAGTCCAGGGACTACACAGACACATGCTTGAAGGTGAGGGTAGCAGTCCCAGCTGTGCCCCTGTCCCCCCACGGACCCACCCTCAGGGGCTCACCCGCTTGCGGTTGATGCGCAGCAGCTCCTGGCTGCAGCCGTTGCCGGTGGTGGCTTCACAGAAGCACTGGTTCCTAGGTGACAAGGGCTTCAGCGAGCTTCGGCCCCCCAGCCCCTCGTCCTGCTCACAGCCACAGCCGAAGACAAAGCTGGCAAGTGCATGGCAGTGTGCCAGGAGGACAACAGCGTGCACCAGCTCTGCAAGCGACCAGCTCCATTCACTGATTTTCAGCAGCTTCTGCAGCACACAAACAGACCGGCGATGCAACATGGGCAGATGGGCAGGGTGCCAGCACCCCCTGGGGATGCTGCTGTCCCCACTGCCACCCTGGTCCTTGGCTGATAAGCCCCCCACAATACCTCAATGTGCTTCTTGGTGATGAGCCATGGTCGGTGTGCCAGGATCTTGTTGATCTCGTTGAGGTTGCGGAGCTTGGGAGGGATGAAGTCGAGGCCACGCAGCCACTGGGGATCTCCCCCTGCCCGCAGGAACTGCAGGACGTGCAGGTTCACCAGGTACCGGCACTGGTGCCGGGCAGCTGCCTGCAAGAGCAGCGAGTCAGCATCCTGCACTGCAGTGGCAGGGACCCCCTGCCCACCTCTCACCCAACCTCTGCAGAGAAGCCTGCAGCCTAGGCTGCCTGGTGGAGGGAGAGGAGGGAGCCATCCCCTCCGGCAGCTCCTAGCAGGGCTTACCATGATGGCAATGTAGTGCCGGCAGTCAAAGGGCAGCGGACCATCCATGTGCATCAGGTAGTGCTGTGTCTTGAGGAAGCTGTCAAGGTACTGTGGGTGGTAGCCCATCTGCTGGGTCACTGCCTCCAGCCGCCCCCAGTTTGCCAGCACCTTCACAAAGAGGAACTGGGGGCACTCGGGGTCAGTGCCAGACATCTTCACTACCTGCAGGGAACATACTGCTTAGCTTCCCCTGAAGCAGCCCCTGCTGCAGCAGCCCACCCCAGCCAAGCCCAGGCTTTCTGAGGGACTGGGATCCCCTCTCCTGGCTTAGTGCCCCCACTGGGACACCATCAGGTCAGAAGCCACTGCAGAGCGCTCATGTAGGGGAGCTGAGCAGAGCAATGCTCACTGGGGTCACTACTAGTGGGAGGACAGGCTGCAAGAAATACAGGTTGGTCTCTGCCTGGGAGGAGGCATCTCCCAGTGAGCAAAAGCAAAGAGCAAACTAAGAATCATGTTTCCTTGCAGCCTTAGAGGCAAATGCAAGGCTGGAGCAGGAGAAACATGACAGATGAAGACATCCCAGAATGGAGCAGTCCATCAGCCTTACCACCAGGCCCCTGCACTGTTGGCACTGAGCTTGTCCACTCAGCACTGGGACGGGGAGAGCTGTGGAGCCAGCTGAGCTGCTCCCAGACCCCTGCCCTAGCAAGCCAAGGGGCAAGGGATGTCCTGACACCCACGACATGGTCAGGAGCAGACGGAGGGGCTCAGAGGTCTCCCTAGGCACTGACCAAGGAAGACAGCAAGGGAGCAGGTCTTGCAGCATGTGGGTATGTGGCACCACTGGCACCAGATGCATCCACCAGTGAAAACACAGGTGGGCAACTCAGCAAGGTGGGTCCACACGTACCCAGCAGCACCCACCCCAACCCTGTGCCAGTGCCCCAGCCAAGCACAGCCCTAGCCACACCATCCCAGTCCCAAGGAGGTGGTGGGAGCAGAGGGCAGAGTTGTGCAAAAGGCACCCGGGCAGCTGCTGTGCCCCAACAACCTTGTTGCCACAGCTCCCACCTGGCAGTGGCATCTGCACCCACAGTCTGCCTGCACCAAGGCATGAGCATAGCACGTGCTAACCCTTTTCACACAGAAAGCCACAGCTCCTGCTCACACACGGGACCCCAGGCAGCACCCTCAGATGCAGAGGGTGCACCTCTCATCCTGGGCTCGAACCAAATTCTCGTTATCTTCCTCCTACCTGTCTCTCCAGTGCAGTCACCCAAAGGCTGGTGACGGGGGCACAGTGACCATGGTGGCACAGCAACAAACCAGGAGTATGTCTGCAAAGCATCCCCTACTCCACTGGATAAAAAGTCGGCTTGGCTGACCAGGCCCAAAGAGTTGTACTGAACGGAGTTAGACCCAGTGGGTGGCTGGTCACAAGTGGTGTTCCCAGGGGCTCAGTATTGGGGCCACTACTGGTTAGTTGCTTTTTCAGTGGTCTGTATGAGGGGATCGAATGCACCCTCAGTAAGTTTGCAGATGACACCAAGTTAGGTGGGTATGGCAATCTACTTGAAAGTAGGGAGGGCTCTACAGAAGATCTGGACATGCTGGAAAAAAATGGCTGAGGCCAGTGGTATGAGCTTCAGCAAGGGCAAATGCTGGGTCCTGCACTTGAGTCACAACCCCATGAAACGCTACATGGCTTGGAACAGAGTGGCTGGAAAGCTGCCCAGCAGAAATGGGTCTGGGGATACTGGTCAATAGGCCAGCTAGCTGAATATAAGCCATCAGTCTGCCCAGGTAGCCAAGAAGACAAGCAGCATCCTGGCCTGTATCAAAAATAGTGTGGCCAGCAGCAGTAGGGAAGTGATCATGCCCCTTTACGCAGGACTGTTGAGGCTGCACCTTGAGTACTATGTTCATTTTGGGCCCCTCACTCCATGAAGGACACTGAGGGGTGGAGCAGGTCCAAAGAAGGGCAACAAAGCTGGTAAAGGGTCTAGAGAAAAAGTCTTATGAGAAGCTGCTGAGGGAACTGGGGTTGTTTAGCCTGGAGAAAAGGAGGCTGAGGGGAGACCTTATTGTGCTCTACAACTGCCTAAAAGGAAGTTGTAGCAAGGTGGGTGTTGGTCACTTCTCCCAAGGAACAAGCGATAGGATGAGAGGAAATCAGCTTAAGTTGCATCGGGGGACATTTAGGTTGGATATTAGGAAAAATTTCTTCACAGAAAGAATTGTAGAGCACTGGGTGCCCAGGGCAGTAGTGGAATCATCATCCCTGAAGGTATGTAAAAGCCACATAGATGT